CCTACTGCGTGCGTGATTCACAATCCAGAACGCCTGGCACTAATTAATTAAGTTGACTTAAGACCAAAAAGACTTCCGAGTGTTGGAAAAATAACTCGACGCATCAAGATTTCAAAAAGCAAAAAGAGGATATTTGTTTACTCGGGATTTCTTCCTTTAGAGTAATTTAGGTGATAATCGTCTTACCTGCCTAATTTTTATCCGTGGTTTTATATCTAAAAATTTTTAAATTAAGTAATAAATATAGATTATATTCAATCTATGTATGAAAATACTCACAGTTAATAGAAATAGGTAATATTAATTTACCACTACTCAAAATTTCTTTTTATTTTAACTGGAATTTTTATAATTCAGCTAACATAAATGCCCAAAAAAAAATAGTTATTCTTAAGTTCTAATTAAGGATGTGTTTAGTATATAGAAGTTTGTGGTTAATAGTTTGTAGTTTGAAATTTAAACTAATCCAAAGAATAAATATATTTACATTATAAAAAATAAGAGATTATAGAAAATTATGATATTTTAACAATTTAAATATTAGAAATAATAATTAAAAAACTTAAATTTTGTGGTTAAATATTACAATTCTCAATCAAAGGATCGTGCCATACAAAACATGTTATCATTTAAAATTTGAGTGCGTACAATGTAACATTACCAAACTAGAGATTGTTTTCCCTTTTTATCAAATTTGTTGTAGTTTATATTTGTTATTTTACAAATCAATATAAATTTTGTAGATTTGTGAGACTACAATGAGAAAGAGGATGTTACATGCGAGCTCCAAGGATGGATTCAAGGAGGAGTTGGATGGGATTCAAGTGGAGTTATAGGCAACCCATCCTAACCATTGATGGATCTTAACAAATGGAGTTAAGGGCAGTCTTCTTATAACTACTGTAGAGGAGTAGGCCTTTGATATTAAGACTTACCTCTCCATCAGTATTTAAAAAAAGTATAAGACTGTAAAAGTGCATTCTCTTTTTTGAAAATTGTTGATCTAGTTTTTGCAACTTACCAAAACTGTTATTTTTAGTTTTCAAAATAAAAAATTTTCCACAAGGATACCAAACAAACCATAAAATATCATTCAGAAAAAGAGATTTTAATTTTAGACAAAAAAAATTGTCAGTTTGCCAAAAAAAAAAGAAAAAGGAATGAACTAATTATGCCCCTAAATGTCACCAACTAATCCTTATTTTTATGACTCAATTGGTTAATAATTTGAAATTTTAAATTCCAATTTTGAATTAAGTAGGGAATTTGAGAAAAGTGAAGTGTTATCCGCTCTTGTATAATCAATCATTTTTTGCACTAAAAAAAAAAAAGAAATCATCATGTGATCAATGAAATACTAATAATTTAGAAGGCATTGAGTATTTTTCACCAATATTAAAAATGACAAAAATATGGTTAATGAAATGTTTAATTGTATATTTGGGTTGAGAGAAATTGAGGGGAGGGAAAGGGAAGATTTTTTAACTACTTAAATTATAATATTTTAAAAATGTTATAATTTGATTAATTAAGAAACTTTCTCGTTTCCCCCTCTCCCCTCCATTCTTTTCCATCTAAACATACTATAATTTAGTTGGTTGGTGATTAAGGAAGTAAAACAGTAATTTTTTTATTAAGGGGTAAAATAGCAAGTGGGAGTTGTAGCCTACAGCCTACAGGCAATCGATCCTAGTGAAATGATCCTAGACATTGTGAAAGCCCGAGCACTCTAAACAAACGAGGTTCACGATTTCCTACAATCACGTTGTTTATGAGAGTACTGTTGTTATTTTTGTTATTAATTTCTTTGATTCATGTCTTCTATTGCATTCATTTTATTATACTTAAACCATGTAGTTTAATTAATGTAATATTCATGATATATACTTTAATTTCTCATATCTTATTCATCTTTTATTTTTTCTTTTGTATATTTTTTTGTAATTAATTGTTATTTAAAAGTAAAAATGATATTCTTACTTACATTTTAAGTAATTAAAGAAAAAATATATAAAAAATAGATTTAAAAAAATTACCTCACTAATAAGAAAGAATGTTCTTTCTCGTTTATATATTTAAGAAAGTATATGCACCTATTATTTTAAAATATAAAACATTTAACTTTTTTGCATGTATTTTTAGGTAATATTTTTTAATAGTATATTAATGATAATTGAATTTTTTATCAAATAAAACTACTTAATGAGAGTTATTAAAAAAATTTTAATTATCATTTATATATTATAAAAAAACATTGTTTAAAAATATATAAAAAATATTTTAAAACTTCATATTTTGGAACAAAAGGAGTATGTCATATATTGGTCTTTGAAAAACCATTTTTCACAAACCAAAAAAGTTTACTTCAGACATATTGTGTAACTCACCCCTTTGAGTTTATTTTAATGAACAGATTTTTCGATGGCCAAAAAAATTAAGGTTGCTCCAAGATTTGACAGTTATTTCCCAAGATCCCCATCTCCACGTTGCATAATAGCAGCACAAGACCTTCAAAACTTGTATTTTGGGGCAAAGATGTGATTTTCTAGTCTTCACGTTGCACAACAGTAGCACAAAAAGGAGAAAAAGATTTGTGAAAAGGAGAAATAAAATTAACCAACCCTACCAACCGCGTGCGTGATTCACAATCCAGAATTCTTGGCACTAATTAATTAAGTTGACTTAAGACCAAACAGACTTCCGAGTGTTGGAAAAATAACTCGACTCATCAAGATTTCAAAAAGCAAAAAGAAGATAGTTGTTTACTTGGGATTTCTTTTTTTAGAGTAATTTAGGTGATAATCGTCTTACCTACCTAATGCTTATCCGTGGTTCTATATCTAAAAATTTTTAAATTAAATACTAAATATAGATTATATTTTATCATATATAAAAATACTCACAATTAATCAACGACTTGTTAGTTCGAGTGGAAAGAATTCAGTTTCCCTTAAAAAAGGTTTCGAATTCGAGTATTATGAATGGAGAAACAAACGTTAAGAAAGCTTTCCCCTAATAAGATCCGATGCGACTCCATTCCGAATTAGTCGGGATTTAATGTGGTTATCGAATATCAAAAAATTAGTAAAAAAAAAAAATACTCACAGTTAATAGAAATAGGTAATATTAATTTACCACTATTCATAATTTCTTTTTATTTTAAACATAAATAAATTCCAACCATAAATAAAAGTTATGCACAACCTAATTAATGTTGTTAGATGCTTAGAGAGTGACGTAAAAACAATGTCGGCAGACCAGCTTTATTTTGTTTTGAT